CGATCATTCAAGATAGGAGATCCATATCACATTGAACTGAGGAGTCGCATTAGGATTATGAGCCATTTTGAATGATGGGAAGATATTTAATGCTACCTCACTACCCCCAAGAACAACTTCTTTGTTGCCTTGGTACCAAGCATGATCATTTCTCTCTTTATATATATATATATATATACTATATATATATATATAGTATTATATAAAGTTATAAATATATATATGAGCGGAATATGTGGTATGGCTTAATACAAAGCACAAATTTTGTGCTTGTAACAGCTGACACGGGCGTGCACAATCGCTTCCACTCATCTCAAATGGGAACCACATCAAGGGTGAGGAATGCGATGAGGTATATGCCAATTGAATGATCGGAGGAGATTATGCCACCTCACTACCAAGCAGAAACTTTATGCTTAAGTCAAGCATACCCATTCTCTCTCTCTCGTCTTCTATATATGATATATATATATATATATAACTTGAAAATCAAATTTGCCACTTAAAAACACCTTGAAACCAAATGATGGTCAATTTGACACTAATATCTTAAATTCATTCTCACCTTTTTTCAAGCCGAAAATAGTTTGTTTCTCGCCCACTTTCTAGGTTGATATTCTTGAGCAAAATTAACATAACTCCTGGATATCCAAGTAAGAAGGGAAGGACAGCGAAGGTGTTGGCGGATAACTCAGCGCAACAAAACAATCATAATTACGATCTCCAAACTAATTAAGTTAAATTTAAACCACAATCCATCAATCAGTTGCTCCTCAATTGTTGATACATGTTCATATAATTCAAAACAAAATTGCTAAACGAAAAAAGAAAAAAGGAACCCCTAAAAAAGACCCAGAAATCAGGTCAATATCCGGCATTTCAGGATGCGAGATCTTCCCTCTCGCCCGCCGCGCGCCGCCGCCGGTGTTCCTCCTCAGTAACCCTCAACCAAACTGCAAACAGCAGTGAAGCTAATGACAAGGCTGATCAGGCCGCTCCCAATCCCAATCCCAACGATGGCCATCACGCTCAGGCCCCTCCCCCTCATCTCCCCCAACGGGAACCCATACAAGCCCCTGTTCCCCACGAAGCTGCTGGCGTTAAACCTGGGCCCACCTCCGTTGCTCCTGTTCGCCAGGCTCACCGGGATCGAGCCCTCCAGCTCATTGTTGGAGACGTCGAAAGCCGACAGCCTCACCAAAAGCCCCAGCTGGTCAGGAATGGGGCCGGATAGCCTGTTGGAGTGGAGGTCGATGACGTTGAGGTAGGAGCAGAGGGCAAGCTGAGGGGGGATCTGGCCGGAGAGGAGGTTGGAGGAGAGGTTGAGGACGGCGAGGTTGAGGAGGAGGGAGATTTGGTCGGGGATGGGGCCCGAGAGGAGGTTGTCGGAGAGGTCGAGGGTCTGGAGGTTGGTGCAGTTGGAGATGAGGGAGGGGAGGCTGCCCGAGAGGGAGAGGGAGGGGAGGGACAGCTTGAAGATCCTCCCGTTGTTGCAGGTGGCCCCCGCGATGAGGGAGGTGAACCCGTTGCAGGGGTTCGCGAAGTTGGGCTTCGTCCAGTTTCGGAGCTTCGAGTTCGGATCCGATAGCGAGGAGTGGAGGCTGGATAAACAGGATTCATCTGATGGGTCCGCAATAGATTGATGGATGAGGAGGATGAGGGTGGTGAGGATGATCAACTTCGGCGTCGCCATTGGAGCACGAATGGAGCTAAGTGGTGGGGGTGAGACTTTTTTTTTCCTTTTATTATTATTTTTTAGTTTTTACTTTTATTTTTATTTTATTTTTTTCCTTTCTTGTTCGTGGGAGGAAGAGGGGAGGAGATGGAGAAAGTGGGGGACGAGTCTGTTTCGGTGATGTTTACTGCTATGTTTTCTGCTTTATTACTTGCTTTTTGCGGTGAGCGTGGGAGCTGCTGTGTTGTGTTTTCCCCTTTGTTTATTTCATTTATTGGCTTTTACTTTAGCTTATTTAATTAAGGGGAGTTTACTTAGGAGTCCTAGTAGTTTAGGACTCATTTTTGCTGAACTCTTCACATTGCATAATTTGGGTTTTATCTAAATAAGTCTTAACTAGAAAAGTATCACAATTTCCTTTTTCAGAGAAACCGTCCGATCACCTTTAAGTAGATATATTGGGATGGTATTCATGTGAATTTTATCACCAAAATGATACGGGTCAAAAGATGATCTTAGAAGTAAAATCTAGGAGAAATTTTTAAAACAGCCCATTTTTCAATTTTAATAGGCAAAATCGACCTAAACTGTAAAATATTAGCAAAACCGACCTTTTTCAGAAGAAAATGGTCGGTTTTGCAGCGGAGCGTCTTTTACGAAGTGCACGAGACTGCTAGTCCCGTGCACTTGCTGTGCACACTTTTGTGCACTTTCTGGCTGCATTTCAAGCAGTTCCTGTGCATACATCAACACAAACATCGACTAACAAGTCACATACTCATTTCTCCTGTGCATATATCAACACAAACTTCCTCTAACAAGTCACATACTCATTTCACCACTGCATTTCATGTAGTCCCTGTGCATACATCCACACAAACTCCCACTAACAAATTACATACTGATTTCACCACATACTCATTTCAAATCAAACAAATCACATCACACCACAAACTCCCACTAACAAATCCAACATAATAACACCACAAACTCCCACTAACAAATCCAACATAATAACACCACAAACCCACTTAGAAATCAAACATATCACACGATATTATCGACTACAAATCCAAAAATCACATCCCTAAATAGTTTTGTAATGTATATAACTTGTAGTTTACATACATCCAAGAACTCTCCTCCTCCTTCTTTGGCTTCGTCGTCCTCCATACCGCCCTTCGACGAGTTCGTGATCCGGTTGCGTTTGTGGTTGTGACGGTCCAGCTCCATCGTCGACACGTTGGGAAGGTCCAGCTTCATCGTCATTTCTGCGTCGTCCTCGACTTTGTCGCTGTTGTCGTGTATATACGAATGGCGTTACCTCCCGTCCATCATGACGATCTTCGTGAGTTCGGTGTAAGGCTTGTTGAAGCCTCTGCATTATAGCCTGATATATTGATACATGTTCATGTGCTTCGGGATTTCTATCTGCTGCGATAGATAGTTCAAAAACAAAATTTCATATTAAATTTGATATTACAGAATGTAAATTTGAGATTTAATTTTATCGTCCCTGCTCGAGCCAATTCCAAGCCACGATTTGCAAGAGTTTGAACTTCATCTATTGCTGATACCTGCAAATTTTTCAACACATAAAGTACCAATAAAAATGGACTTAGATCAAAATATGAAAATAGCTGATACCTGCAAATTTTTCAACACATAAAGTACCAATAAAAATGGACTTAAATCAAAATATGAAAATACTTACTAATTCTCTCTCATCTATACCCCGGGGCACATATCCTCTTTGCGACTCAACCGGTATTGTGGTCGAATGAAGTATCCATCTTCGGGTTATGCCCCAATACCAAGTGTAGTAATCTGATTCCCGAGGAGTTGGTTCAATTTGGTTGACAATACAAAAATGCCTATCATTCCATCTGTGTATAAAAGCTTGATGCACGATCATCCAGTTTATTTGCTGGCCTCCTTTTTTTGCCTTCCTCTCTATCTTTTCAACAAACTGCGGAACATGTTGTGCACGACCAAATTGTCGAAGCACGCGGTCCGGTACATGCATTTCTACTATCTCCAAACATATAAGAGGAACTCTAGCTCTCCATACAACTTGGTATTCTGTGCATATTGGGGGTAGCTGAGGTAGAAATTGGGTGTAGGGCTCCCATTCCATCTATAATAATTTAATGCAGTTGCATATCAGAATTGGGTTTTCAGTATGTAGAAGAAAAAACGCATGTTTTTCGGTGAGAATTACCTGAAAAATCTTCATACGGTCAAGCTCATTCCGGTAGAAATCCAATTGTCTAGCCGGGGTCTCGTCATAGCATTTTTCGACATTCCATCTACAAAAAAATATTTATCATACATTTAGTACCACAATGATAACTACAATTATATTCGCTACACTAAAAATACAATACCTGCATCCCAGTGGAATTTGTCCATCTAATTGTAAATGCGTGCATAGTCTCGGCTTCAAATGAAGTCTCTCCCATGCCCATACTTGCAATAAGCTTAGACACCCTTTAAGCTCACTGTTTTGCATAAGTGCCACTTTTGACATCTCTCTATATAAATACGCCAAAACAGCACTACCCCACGATTTTGTACCACATACGTCCAAGTCCTCGAGGAGTGGTAACCACCTAGCATATTCACAATATTCCAATTTATTAAAATAAGCTAATTCAATGAAATACAGATTCATATTATAAATACACATACCTCGCATGCACTTTATCTTTACTTGAATCTGGAAATAATATAGTACCAATCATGTGCATAATGTATGCACGTGCATGTTGGTCAACCAAAATTTGTGGGGCATCAACAGGCAACGGTACTGAGAAGATCTCTCTCAACCACTTCAACTTAATATTTCCTCGAGGCATAGGCTCTGGAGCTACACCTAACAACTCCTCACATCTTCGAGGCCATACATCACTATCAGTGCCGGTAATGCACGGACCATCTATACGGAGACCGAGTATCACGGATACATCTTGTAGAGTAATGGTAGCCTCACCCATTCGGAAGTGGAAAGTATTGGTCTCAGGTCTCCATCTATCCATCAACGCAATCAGTAGGGGCCAATCGAGCTTTATCCAACGAAGCTTTGAACAAGTCAAGAAGCCGGCCCGTCCCACAGCTGCTATGATACGCTCATCCTCTAACCGCCAACGGCTATGGCTGAGGCTATGATCAACCATAACGATACTCGGACCTCTCTGTATAGACAATGATAGTATAAGAATGCAATATTATGTAAATGCAAATATTACAATTATAAAGTAACTGAATTACCTCTGTACAGGATATAATATGTGAACGATGCTGAGCCTGGTCATATAAGACCTCATCACTAACCGGCCCAGGATCCATGGTGTACAAACCTGCACATATAATTATACACATGTTAATAATCAATCATATAGTAATTCAGTTTCTTTATTAAAGTATATAAAAATAAAAAAATGATATAAATTACCAATTAGTTGCTATCTATTGTGTCTAGATGGACAACGAGGTCGAGTATGTCCCGGTTGTTTGCAAAGACTACATTTTTTGTGCTTGACCACTCCTTCTCGCCCTTGATCCATGGTTCCCCTAATTCGCACAGATCGTGGTCGACCTGCTTGTCTCCGGTACTGAGGTGGAACTATATGTGGTCCATTATATTCAGGCCAATACCGACTATCATCAGGTGGATGAAAACTCTCACTATATGTCTTTTGATAGTGAGCTGTTGAATACCAAGGCGAGCAATACCGATTTCTGGGAATTCTAGCACCTCCCGGCTGATTAGAAGAAGCCGCAAGCACATGTGCACAGGGTATTTTTTGGAGTTGTGGTATGTTACATGTGCAAGTGCAATCAACATCAAATAGTTTAACGGTGTAGATACCGTCACAATCTTGTACCTGCCATTCGTTGTCGTTGAATACAGTAATTTGACATGATCTTGCTGCCTCAATTCTTCTATGCAAAATGGACTCATTTTTTGGTGTGTAACGTGTTGTCCAGTCTATGCCATCACCACGCCTTTTGTTGAAGTATGCGTTTAGTCTATAGAATGTTCTCGCAACCAAAGATTGTATTGGCATAGCTCGTGCTCCTTTAAGAACGCCGTTAAAGCTCTCGGAGCAATTAGTCGTCATCATGCAAAACCGCACACCCTCATCCTTACATAATGCCCACCGATGCTCGAATTGAGGCTTCAAGTTATTTTCAATCCAATTATGTGCATCTAATGACAAAGACTTGATTTTCTCCCTGCAATGTTCATACACTAATGTGTCGGTCGCACACCCGGCTTGCCACAAAAGATTTTGCAAATTAATCTCACCGTGTTTTTTCTTGAAATTATCTCTTATATGCCTTAAACAATATCGATGGTGATGTGGTGCACTAAAACCCTCATGTAACGCCCTTATAATTCCTTTCATCCTATCCGAAATAAAGGTAATTATTCTTGGCGCACGGACACTTGGAATCCACTTGTATATAAGTTCAAAAAACCACTTCCAACTAGACGTATCCTCCACCTCCACGACTGCAAATGCTAGAGGAAATAACCCGCCATTTGCATCTACACCGGTCGCTACAAGAAGCACGCCTTTGTACTTTCCATATAAATGTGTACCATCAATGCTCAATAGCGGACGACAAAAAGTGAAGCCCTTAATAGCAGGACCAAATGCCCAAAACACGCGAGTGAACCTCTCCATACCCGGTGCAATCCCCCGCTTCCGCGATTTGCGCCGCGATAGCCCCGCTTTTTGCCGCTTTTTACAACACTGATCAACCATAACGATACTCGGACCTCTCTGTATAGACAATGATAGTATAAGAATGCAATATTATGTAAATGCAAATATTACAATTATAAAGTAACTGAATTACCTCTGTACAGGATATAATATGTGAACGATGCTGAGCCTGGTCATATAAGACCTCATCACTAACCGGCCCAGGATCCATGGTGTACAAACCTGCACATACAATTATACACATGTCAATAATCAATCATATAGTAATTCAGTTTCTTTATTAAAGTATATAAAAATAAAAAAATGATATAAATTACCAATTAGTTGCTATCTATTGTGTCTAGATGGACAACGAGGTCGAGTATGTCCCGGTTGTTTGCAAAGACTACATTTTTATGCTTGACCACTCCTTCTCGCCCTTGATCCATGGTTCCCCTAATTCGCACAGATCGTGGTCGACCTGCTTGTCTCCGGTACTGAGGTGGAATTATACGTGGTCCATTATATTCAGGCCAATACCGACTATCATCAGGTGGATGAAAACTCTCACTATATGTCTTTTGATAGTGAGCTGTTGAATACCAAGGCGAGCAATACCGATTTCTGGGAATTCTAGCACCTCCCGGCTGATTAGAAGAAGCCGCAAGCACATGTGCACAGGGTATTTTTTGGAGTTGTGGTATGTTACATGTGCAAGTGCAATCAACATCAAATAGTTTAACGGTATATATACCGTCACAATCCTGTACCTGCCATTCGTTGTCGTTGAATACGGTAATTTAACATGATCTTGCTGCCTCAATTCTTCTATGCAAAATGTGTACCATCAATGCTCAATAGCGGACGACAAAAAGTGAAGCTCTTAATAGCAGGACCAAATGCCCAAAACACGCGAGTGAACCTCTCCATACCCGGTGCAATCTCTTCGGATAATATTTCGTATTCAGTACCCGGATTATTTCGTTTGTTAGCTTCAAGATACCGTGGAAGTAATTCATATGATTTTTCCCAATCTCCAAAAATTTTAGACAACGCTTTTCTCCTTGCATCATATGCCTTATATTTAGATATCTTAATCCCCCGCATGTCATATACCCTCTGAAATATCTGACTTGCATTCAGATCAAGTTCAGCTCTAACTTCAGGCATAATTAGCATACATATATATAAGAAGAAGATGCAGAATAATCATCGACATCCACCGACGGGTTGCAACATGTATGAAGTCCGCAATATCTACATATTATAAATTGCCCATTTGATGATTTTCTCACAGCGACATTTAGCAACCAAGGGCATTTTTTATTTCTCTCATCTTGCTCATTTGCGTTCTCTACTTCATTCTTATCGTTAAAGAAGCATTTCACATAGTAGTTTGTTGCATTAGTTTTTACCGGCTTGAATTTGACCCGATTCTTGATGGACCATTCTCGGATTGTAAAGATCAGTGCCTCCTTGCTCTTGAATAGATCCCCTTTTTTAAAAGTGAAGTCCTCGGGTCGTTGTAAATTTGGACCAACATCAACAAATCCAGCTTGAGAAGTATTTATCCAATCCTCATTATGAAACTCGTCGGGCAACGGATCTTCAGCTTCCACATAATCATTGTTAACGTTAAATTGCTCCATCCAACGGGCGTCATCATCGATTCCAGCTGCCACATGCATGCTATCAATTTGCACGCCATCTTCTTCAATATGATCTGAATCATCATCTGCTTCATCTTCTATAATTGCTCCGACTGGTGGGTAACCCGTAACATGACCTGAAGCGTCGTTAAATATATTAGTTGACATCCCACCGATAGAATACTCACTTAAATGTTGTGGTTGAGACCATGGCTCTTGACTTGGAGATGTCATAAAACCAATCAACTCGTTGTCTAAGTCAAGCATCCGAGAAAACTCTCCTTGAGGTCGTGAAACTTGGGCAAATTCCCGAATCGGATACTTCTCAATAAACAACTCAATTGACGCTTGCTTCTCGACTAATTGTTTCATGTCATTCAATTCCTCATCTTCGGTAATCTCCACGGCAATAGTTCTACTCTCATTTATCGGACAGTTGAAGAACACCCTAATTGTATATTCTTCTTTCTTAATTTTAGTAACTCTGTGTATTTCCCTAGTCATTCCATCAAAATTACACGACTTAGATAGCATGAACATTTTCCGAGAACCTCCATCATACACCGGCAAATTATTCACTCCGACGCCGAGGCTCCCATTAAAGAAACAAATAATGGATATGGAGTTCGTCATCGAAACTGAAAATACACAGTCCATCATATGCAAATAATCTATTAATATCTGAATAAATTCCAAATAATGGCTAAACCCCTAATTATTATTCATCATATGTAAATAATTACTAAACGGCTCGAAGAAGGAAAGAAAGAACGAAAGAAAGAACGAAAGAGGGGAGCTGGTGGGGTAGCCGGACTGCACGGGACTACTAGTCCCGTGTAGTTCCACAATTGCAAAGCCGACCCTTTTCGGTCGGTTTTGCTAATTATTTTGTGAGACGGTCGATTTTGCACAATAAAATTGAAAAGGACAAATTTTTAAAAAAGCCTCTTTTTTAAATTTATTAAGCAAAACCGACTGTTTAAAAATTTAATTAGCAAAACCGACCATTTTCCAAAGAAAAGGGTCGGTTTTGCAGTAAAGATTTTTTTTAGCGAAAGTGCACGGGACTAGTAGTCCCGTGCACTTCACTTTAATTAACGCAAAAAAATCACTCATGGCTGCTGACCTTAGTGTTTGCGTCGAAAATTGTTGTATTCATTACGGTATTCATTACAACTTCGATCGTTACAATGAAAACAA